TATATATATATATCCCGGATTAATCACTTCCCTGTAAAGTAAAATGTCATTGCGTAGAGATCTTTCATAGTTTTAATTAAAAAGTCTTAAAAAGTGGCCTTCATATATAAAGTGTATTTCATCTGCCTATGTTTAAAATTCCTTCGCATTATAACATTCCATTTATTTACGAAGATAAAAGTAAAAGTTCAGGCAGTTCAAAACTATTTTAAAGCCGACAAATCGTTATGTTTTGCGGGTGCCAAAGTTTTATTTCGTCTCTATTTAATTTATCTAAAGTGACAAAAATAGTCTAATATCTTACATATTAAGGCAATTAATAACGCACATTGTTAGTTTTAAAATATCAATTTCGTTAATAGATATTTTCATCCAGATTAACTTTATAACGAGCGTTCAAATAAAAACGTGGTCAAGTTGGTTCTGAAAATTTGGACGTAGGGCGTAGCGTATAGCAAATGAACTTAAACGTCATCTGTCAAAGCGCTATATCGCCGCTATCAATTTGAATATTTTCGTTTTAAAAAGCGTTTAAAATGGTGTTTTCTCAAGAACAAAAAGTGTTTATCATAGAGTCCTACTTTAGAAATGGACGCAAGATTGATGGAATATGGAAGTATTTTATTGAGGAATGTTTCATAGAATTTCAAAATCAATTTCCCGGCGTTGTTGAGTACAAAATTTTTCAAAGTGCAGTTCAGCGTTGTGTTAATGTTTTTCGTGAAACGGGCAGTGTAACAAGAAAAGAAGGAAGCGGCCGACCTAAAAAGCGGACTGAAGAATTAAAAGAAAATGTCCAACAAATAATGGAAAATGCGCCAAGAACTTCTGTACGTCTTTTATCACAAATGGTGGGAGTATCAGTCGGTACCTGCCACACAGTGTTAAAAAAAGATTTGCGTTTGTTCTTCTATCGTTTAACTTGTCAGCAAGAACTTCATGAAGTTGATTTTCCGCGACGGGCTGTATTTTGTGAATGGTTTTTAAACAACTACGGTGAACTTCATAATATCACCTTTTTTTCTGATGAAGCCTGGTTTCATTTAAGTGTTATAACAAGGAGGGGGACACTTTCCGCAGCTCCTTTAATTGTTTGTTATTGTTATCACGATTATTCTTTAAAATAAAGTTATATAGTCATTAACGTTATTGAAACTGACAGCTGCTATACAGCTCGTTGAGAAATGAGGTTAAGTTGGTCGCTGTAAGCTACTCCCTACGTCCAATGTGTCAGAACCAACTTCGACCACGTTTTTATTTGAACGCTCGTTACTTGCCAAAATAAAAAAATAGATATACTTTATATTGTATTAATTCTGGTGCATACCCAGTATATAATAAATATCTTGACAGAGCTTAAGGTTGTTATCTTTTACACGAGGGACGTGATTTTTTATCGGGCCGTCTTGCCCTCATCGCGATTTTTTTGGGATTATGACTTATCGAGATTCTATAAATGGATTCTAAACCGTTTCTAATGAATGCTCCGTATTTGACCTATATATAAAAATAATCATTTATTTACCCGATAAAAAATTACATTCGGCGTATTATCTGGAAGAATTTCAAAATTATATAACTTTTTATCCGGTGCTTCCTTGTTGCATTAGATTTTTTCCTAAGGTCAGGTCAAGACGTTGATATATACGAAATGTCCGTTGCGATACCACCCTCGGTAGAAACAAGCAAAGAGAGCAAAACCCAAAATGAAATAGAGAAATAGCAATAAGAAACAAAATCAAGACAAATATAAATATATATATATATGGAAATGTTCCTTTAGGGAACAAAATCAGAACAAAATAAAGAGCCTTGAAAAGGTTCTTAGTAGTCAACAAGTCAAACATAAATAGAAATCGAGAATAACATCAAGAAAAATAAGGAACTTTCGTCTTTTATATATGAAAATGTTCCCAATACTTATTAATACAAAAAGGTACGTTCCAATAGGGAACTAAATCAAGAACAAAGTATGAGCTGTCTTATTTTACATAAGAGTGTTATTAGTAATTAATAATAATTCATTAAAGATGTTCATATAATGGACAGTCAGAATAAAGTGAAAGGAACATCGTGATCTTCAATTATTTGAAAATGTTCTGGTAATTAACATGTCAAATAGAAATAAGGAACAAAATAAAAAAATAGAGAACCGTCTTATTTTGTATATACTTAAATATATCTCCAATAGTTAAAAATACAAAAAGTGATGTTCTATAGGGAACAAAATCAAGAACAAAATAAATAGCCTTGAAAATGTTCTTAGCAGTTAACAAGTCAAATATAAGTAGAAATCAGGAATAACATCAAGAAAAACAATCAACTTGCGTCTTTTATATGATGAAAATGTTCCTAATAGTTAATAATAAAAAGGGCACGTTCGTATAGGGAACAAAATAAGAATAAACGGTCTTATCTTACATATGAGTGTTATTAGTAGTTAATAATTCATAAAAGATGTTCCTATAAAGAACAGTCGGAACAAAATATAAAAGAACATCGTGATATTCAATTTGAAAATGTTCTGACAACTAACAAGTCAAATAAAAATAAGGAACAAAATCAAGAAAAATAAAGAGCAGTCTTTATATATAAAAATGTTTCCAATAGTAAAATATACAAAAAGCGATGTTCCTATAGGGTACAAAATCAAGAACAAAATAAAAATGGATGGTCTTATCTTACATATGAAAATGTTCTAGTGGTTAATAACCACAAAGCATGTTCCTATAGAGAACAGTCAGAAGAAAATATAAACATGATATTTAATATGATGTTCCCAGTAGGTAATAAGTCAAATAGAAATAATGAACAAAATCAAGAACATAATAAAGATTAACGGTCTTATCATTTTGCATATGAAATTGTTTCCAGTAGTTTAATTCATAAGTTTGTTTCTTTAAAGAACAAAGTCATAACATAATATAATTTGATCTTCAATATGAAAATGTTCTTAGGAATTAACAGTTTTTTATTTATTTTTATAAATTATTTAAAAGAGTTTTAAAAATATTGACCTGAAATTTGATGTTGTATTTTATTTAGAAATATTGACAGCAAGCTATTAAATAATGTATCAATCAATAGAAATGAAAAATACACAAATACAATAAAATATGTTTAATTTTCTTTCCTCAAAAAAAAAAAAAAAACGGTGCATCCTACGAGAAAAATTGAAGAGACACCGATTTCATTCAGAATTGATGGCGAATTTCTAAAAAAAAATATCAAAATATCAGTAGCGGTCCATTTTTTTAATTAACAAAAGGTTGTGGCATTCTCGCACGAACGTCACTGATGCAAGTAGAAATATTCGGATCACCCCAAAAAATGCACATTTATCCCTCCAAAGCATTTTTCAAATTTCGAATCAATATCTTCAAATCTCTGAAATAATTAATAAAAATAACTAAAAAAATTAAAATTTAAACACTGTATTTCTGAAACGAAGCATATTTCGGCCTACGTTTATATGAACTTTTTTCATAAAATAACTTCGTCAACTGCCCCCTAAAATATTTCGCATCTATTTACAAACACCCTGTATATATAAAAAAAGAATTTTATATGAAAATGTTCTTAGTATCATTCTTCATTTTATTTTTTTTTAATATCGGAGACACTCCTAACAAAAAAAAATTATTTTCCCCGCAAACGACTAATTCCTCCCATCTTTCCAGGTGCCCTTCGTGGAGATATCCACCGTGGAACCCAAACGGCGCGTTCGCCGCAATCTGGGCCTCAACTGCGACGACAAGATGAACGAGCCGCTCTGCTGCCGCTACTCGCTCGACGTCGACTTCGAGGAGATCGGCTTCGACTTCATCATCGCCCCCAAGAGGTACGACGCCCACATGTGCGCCGGCGACTGCCCCTTCGTCACCCTCCAGAAGTACCCGCACACGCACCTCATCAAGATGTCGTCGCCGCAGAGCGCGCAGCCCTGCTGCGCGCCCAGGAAGATGAGCGCCATCTCCATGTTGTATTTCGACGAACAGTTGACGGTGGTGTACGGCTCGCTGCCGGGCATGGTGGTGGACAGGTGCGGGTGTTCATAATAGTACCGGAGGGTAGGCCGAGGAGAGGGAGGGGAACTGATTTTTAACGTCTCCCGGGTCAGGAAAGTCTGTTAAGTGTACGCGGTGCCACCTAGTGGTCGCATCCGAACGTAATTTTGTGACGGGTGACGCGGGGCTGACCGCCATTGCGGGAGAACGGAAAGAGCGAGACGGAAACCGCAAGAGGAGGTCTTTATGCCTTGATCTTCACTTAAAAATTCCGTCTTGGTAGGTTTACCAAGTTCTAATGGCTGTGGTGTCGCCGAAATTAATATTCCCAGTTTCTTAAATATTTTTTTATATCGCGCGAACGGAAGTTTTCATTTTTCTCAACAACTTTTATTAAAAAAGTTTTTCGATATCTCTTTCCGTTCAAAAGATACAACATGATATGTTTAGACACAAAGACAGGTTTGATCAAGCCTGTTACTGATTTAAAAACATTAACAGACCTGATCAAACCTATGGTTTTCTCTATACATATCAGTTTATATCTTTTTAACGGTAAAAGAGATCAGAAATCTTTTTTAAGAAAAGTCGTTGGGAAAACGAACGCTTTCCTATGACACAATGCGAGATTGGGAAAACAATTTCGATGACGTCATATCCCTTAAGTTGATGTACTTGCCAAAACAGAATTTTAAGTCGAATGCTTCTATCATCAAGCCGTAAAGATCTCCTCTTGCGGTTTCCTATTTGCTTTTTCCGTTTTACCGGTCAGTCAATTTGTCACTCCGTACTTCTGCGTCAACATTCCTCGAGAAGCCGTTATATCCCGCTCCTGATGGCGCGCCGGACGCGTTGGAAGTCAGTTCCGCGGCACCTCCTGTCGTCTTTCTCGGGACTCAAGGGACTTCTAGGTTAATAAATTATTTATTGTTCGTGTTGAAGTATACATTGTGTCGTTCTAAAAATCTAGTGCCACCCCTCGAAGATAGCACAGGACTTCTAAATAAATTATTTATTCTCAACGTCTCAAGGACAAGTTGATATCCCGTAAAAGTTTGTGGAATCTGCAGTGTGATTGACGCGGCATGGTTAACTATTGGCGTTACGAGGGGCGGTGGAAAAGTCGCAATCTTTCGTTTACGAGGGTACCTAAGTATTTTCGCGAATGCTAAGTGACTGAAATCATCATCTGCGACGTCTTTGAACTAGTGCTTAAAAACAATGATTTTTCTTTTATCACTTTTGAGATTTTTCCATCTGCCTTCGTACGTTAAAAATCCTGAAATGTGTGCCCCTTTTCACAGATCGCCCTGTACATATTTCATTGTATCCTCAGTGTTGTGCCGTGGTTTTGAAAATGTCTGTGTCCAATTTTTGAAACTTCAGCAAAATCCCCCCCACACCCTACTTAGTGTATATATTTTGTATAAAAATATGTGATATGTTTAGGTATAAGAGTGATTTTTATATTTATTTTTGTAAATTGAATAGGAATTATTTCGGAATCAGCGGCGGAACGGGGTGTAATTTTTTCGATTTCGCCCCGTTCCGAAGATGAAAAAGTTTTGTGAGAGAATTCTTTCAATTCGGATCTTTTGCACAAACGCGTAAATAAAATGCCATTATTTTGACAAGTGTAGAAGGAATAAGTTGTTTTTTGTGATAATATGCCTTAATGAAATTATATTTTTTGATAAAATTTTTCGGAAGGAGGTGATAAATTTTCTTTGAGGATTATTTTTAAGCGTTTCTGTTCCGTTCCAAGGGAAGGATGTAAAATATTTTGTAAATATTGAGACTGTAAAAAAATGTCTTATATTTTATAATGCCATAGATCTCGTTGAAATGTCAAATCAAAATGTATCGATCTTTTGGTTTGTCTTATTAAATAATTGTATAGTTGTAAATAGAGGCAATGTTCAGTGAATTTAATTTAACTAATATTTAGTTCGATTCATTTTTATTTTATTACGGATGTTGTCGATTTTTCTATGTGTGTTTTTGCTTTTTGTATGTAAAATAGAAATGTAATATTAGATTTTTGCTAAATAAAACAAAATATTACGACTGATTTTAATTCCACCCACTTTCCCTAACACTTCTTTATTACTAGTGCGCAGCATCCAGGCCCGAAGGACCAAAAATGAAACAATAGTAGGAATAAAGAACTCTAGTGTTTCTTAATTTTTTTTCTAACGTCATTGATATCTTAAAACGTCACTTTGATTCAATGTATTTCCTCTATAAACATAGAGATAAAAAGATTTTATAATCTCTAAATCTATTCGATACAATTTATAAAATCATTGGATTCTCTGTTTTTCCTTCTCTTCTGAAACATGTTCTATATTGTTTATCCATTTGAGGAAGTGTTACTTTATGTATAGTCTCCATTCATTTGTCACGAAATTTGTTAATTACTTAAACAGCATTACTCAGCATATTTATCCTTGAATAAAATATACAACCCTTTAATTCCACATCCAGGCTCGAAGGACCAAAAATGAAGCAGTACTAGGTGAGTATATAGAATATATCTTTTGTCAATCTTCACTCTTTTCTAACATTATCGCTTATTTAAGATACGTAGACAGACATAAGTTTATTAAAAAAAGAGGTCTCATAACCCGAAAACAATATAGTACGATTATTAATACATAAAAATTTCTTAGCAAAACACTGGATATCAAATTTGTTTCTCTTGGTTCAATATTCTAAAAAAAATTGCATTCATTCGTTAAAAAATTCGTTAATTAAATAAATAACTCTACTGAGCAATTATAATTGATTGATGCCGTTGCTGTCGAATATCCACGTTCGAAGGACCAAAATCGAAACAGTAGTAGAAAGACGTATAAAAGCATATTTCTGGTCTGTCTTCATTCTTAAAAAATAATCCCTATGTCCAGATTTGAAACTATTTAAAATGTGTCCTTTACGGAGATAGTTTACTTAAAAAAACAACAGCCGCATAACCTCAGAATCTATTAAATTTCTTCTCCTTTGTATTTGGCTTCTCTTTCACTTCTAAAGAATTCGAGAAGATTTTTATGCCTGTGAGGTTATATCATTTACAGTCTGTATTAATTTGTTAAAAATTCATTAATTCTTATTATTTTTCAATATCCAGGCTCGAAGGACCAAAAATAAAACAGTAGTAGGTATATAGAAATACGTCTTTGGTTCATTTTCATAATATTTTTAATATTATCGTCATCTTAAAAACCGGATTTCTTCTTTAACTTCTAAAAAAATGTATAAATTCTTTAGGTATTTTAAGTTGTTTGTTTACACATTCATTGTAACAGACTTTAATTTCATATGTGAATAAATGGCACATATTTTTCATATTTGGTTTCCTTGTCATTGTTTTCGAATATCCAGGTCGAAGGACCAAAAAGAAAAGCGTAGTAGATATGTGGAAGTATATGTCCAGCACGCTATTCTTTCGATACACACTGTCTATTTATAGAAGAACCGTTTAAGATATTTCCTCCATAAACAGACATTATTATTTAAAAAACAGCTCTCATAACCTCAAAATTTATACGATACGATTATTAGTTTATAAATTCTGCCAACATAACACTTAATATCGAATTTCTTTAATACTCCATTCAAATATTTTTCTTTTCCTCTTCTTCTTCTTTGACATAATTTGATAGGTTCTTGGCATATTTGAGATTAAGTCTAGTTACACATAAAGTTCGTTAAAGATGCAAGGCCTGCTTTATAATTTTAACGATTCGTCTGTTTTTTCGGAGACACCCGGTAGGTACCGCGCGACAGCCGAACAAAGACATATTCCCACCAATAGAAGTCCGCCTTTAGGAACAAGCCGTCTGCGAAATCTCCCATTTTTTCAACACATGTTCGAGCAATTAAACAAAAACGAATCAAATCGTCTGTCCATCAATAAGTTTCCACGAAACAACGCTAATAGCATTTATATAATAGCGCGCCAGCTGATAATTTCCAATTAGCAATTCCCAAATAATTAGTGACATGTCATGTCATTGTCTGGAAGATCCGGGGTCTGGGGATGGGCAAAGCGAAATAATCGAGTGTTTGTTACACTGGGAGAAATAAATGCTTGTATATCAGTATTTGATTTGATTAGTCATTACTAAATTTTAGTCGAATATTTATTGCTTTTCTTAAAAAACCTTGCATGCAAAAATATTTCGAATGTTCTTAATCAATGAGGTAAGGTAGATACTATTCTATTTTGACTTGCGTCAAATGTTTGACAAAATTAATCGTGTTTTGCTTTACAGAAACTTAATCGATTAGAGACGTTTAAAATTTTAAACGAACTAAAATTTTTTCACACGATCAAGTACGCGATATGACGTCATTTAGTGTCATGGCGCCATTCAACTACTCCATTATCGATCGCACTAAATGATGCCACGAATTAATTATCGAAAATACCGTGGCGACCTCTAACGAAGGACGCGGAATTATTAGTTTGTACAACAGGCTACTAAGACTAACCGGTTATAAAATAACGCTTTCTGCAAACGAACACTTTTGTGAGTGTATAAGTGGCGGGTCCTCAGACGCGACGTCACTGTTTCCACGAACCGACAGCTAAAATTTTCACTTTTTTTTACCGCGCCGGTTTTTTGCCGCGCCTCCAATTTACGGTGAAAACAACAAGTTGTAGAAAAAACGCTCACGATATAGTAATTTACCACCCTAATTCCATTCAGGACGCGGCAATAGGGTTGGACAGACACGTTACGGGGTTATTTACATCAGTCCGTTAATTTTGGATAGGGAGAAGTTTTATTTTCTGTAATAATTTGCTATATGCATCATCTAACGTTGAGCTTTAAGGATAAGTGTCGTTTACACCGAGAAAAAGGGTTGCTTTCTCAAAATTGTGTCAGGTATTGGAAGAATAAGAGGATCATTCATGTTTTTTGTAACCAGTTTCGTTCCTACGTCATTACGCGGAATAATAAACTATATCTGTTCAGTTGCGAAAGGGAACATTATGCATTTTTTAACAATACCCAATTTTTACGTATCGAGTGCGGTTACTAAATCATAATGACGAACTGCGTTACCAAATTCATAAACACTATTGTCTAACAAGTAGTAAAATATCCGATAGTACCATTGTTGGCTCTTTTACCATTTAATTATATATTTTATGTTTGCGAAATAAAGGAAGCAAAGAGTCTCATAAAAAATTAAAACAAACATGATTTAAAAATAAAAATTAATCTTTAGTTTTAGTAGGAAGAATAAATTGGAGACGATAACGTTAATCTGGTAATTTCATTGCTCAATTTTTACAGAGTAAGATTAAAATAAACGAAAAATCATGACCTGCCATGTAAATAATATGAAGTGAATATTGTTTTCATTCCTCTCCAAAATACATATACTTTGCCAATCTGGTTTCCTTATCATTATCTTGTAATATCCAGGTTCGAAGGACCAAAAATTAAACAGTATGTATTAGGGTGGCCCAAAAAAAGGAATATTTTTCTCACACCTCTCGTGAAAATATGTTAGTTTATCATCTTTTCAGAGCCCCCTCAAAAAATCAACTCAAAAAAAAACTTTTTAGAGGTCGCTCAAGATTTTTAAAAATTTCCAAAATTATAAAAAATTTGAATTTATAATTTTTTTTCTCGTTATTTTATCATTTTCTAGGTTGAAAAAAAATCTCGATTCTGAAAATTTCAAATCGATATTTTAATTTCTAATTATTTTAACTTTAAAAGTAGTGTACTTACCTAAAATGTTTTCGAGCGACCTCTAAAAATAAATATCAACGAACTAATAATTTCTCGAAGCAAAATTTACCACCGCACTGTGAGTATCAAATAATTATAATTTCTTAAAATCTAACAATAAGTGTGGTGATTTATTTCTATTCTTTTGTTCATCGAATTCAATAAAAAAAATATATTAGTTCGTTGATATTTATTTTTAGAGGTCGCTCGAAAACAGGTATACTGCTTTGAAAGCTAAAATAATTATGACTGACCTTTAAAATTTAAAATATCGATTTGAAATTTTCAGAATCGAGATTTTTTTCAACCTAGAAAATGATAAAATAACGAGAAAAAAATATTTTAAAAAATATTTAATTTGTTGACGAATTTAAAAATTTTTAAATATATTGAGCGATCTCTAAAAAAAATATTTTTTTAGCTGATTTTTTAAGGGGGCTCTTAAAATATCATAAACTAACATATTTTCACAATAGTCCCGAAAAAAAATATTCGTTTTTTTTTTGGGCCACCCTAGTATGTATATAGTCAATTTTTATTATTTTCTAAGACAGTAGGATTTGTTAAAGAAAAGAGAAGCTCTCATAAGGTCAAAAACTGTGCAGTACGATTATTAATTTATAAAAAAAATTGTATAAATTCTCTATGCATTTCAGGTTATGTCTACCCATTGTCTGTACTCATTCTTTAAAAACTTCATAACTTTAATTCCATGCGTGCCTATTTCGCGCGTATTATTCAGATCTGGCTCCGTCGTTACTGTTTTCCAATATCCAGGTCGAAGGACCAAAAAGGAAAGTGTAGTAGATACAAGGTGATTTCACTTTAAATACAGAAACTGCAGGTCTAGATTCATCACCAAAAAATAAGTAGAGTTTGCTCTATAAACTTTTCTCCTGTGTGACTTGGTATTCGTGATACAGGGTGTTAAACTTTACAAAAAAATATTTCTTTTCTGCTATATCTTCATAAAGCGCTGACGGAATTGAATGAAATTTACTGCAGCGTATTCACTTAATTAGACCTTCTATTGAATGTAATATTAACCTTGTGGCTTTAACCAGTGGCGTGCTACTGAAGGTGTCGCCCTATTTTCCTAAGAAAAAAATACGTCACTGGCGTTTTTTTTTGTAGAAATAATTCAGGTACCGTTACGTTAAATGAATGAAAACTGTTTCTTGGTGTTTTTTAATAGCAGCAGCCGTTTAGAAGATACAAATATCTTGTTGTTAATAAAATATCTTGTTGTTAATAAACATTTTTTTCTCGCCATGTAACGCTAGTGCATTTTAATAAAATTTTTAAATAAAA